CAGGGATCGTTAGGAACCGGATCTAGACCTTAATCTTTCTCGAAAAAAAAAATCAGATTTCAGGGAATTAAAGCTGTTAACTCTTTGAGGCAGGGATCGTTAGGAACCAGGAGCAATCAGGACTCCAGGGAATTAAAGCCATTTAATTTTGGGGCAGGGATCATTAGGATCCGGGAGCAATCCGGACCTTACCCTGTGGCAAAGATCGCTCGGATTCCAGGGAATTAAAGTGCTTAACTCTTTGGGGCAGGGATCGTTAGGGTCCGGATCTAGACCTTAATCTTTCTCGAAAAAAATCAGATTTCAGGGAATTAAAGCCGTTAACTCTTTGGGGCAGGGATCGTATCGTTAGGATATCGTTAGGATATGAAAGCAATCAGGATTCCAGGGAATTAAAGCTGTTAACTCTTTGGGGCAGGGATCGGTAGGATCCAGAGCAATCCGGATTTCAGGGAATTAAAGCCACTTAATTTTGGGGCTGGAATGGTTGGGATCCGGGAGAAATCCCGACCTCACCCTTTAATAAAGATCGCTCATTTTTCAGGGAATTAAAGCTGTTAACTCTTTGAGGCAGGGATCGCTAGGAACCGGATCTAGACCTTAATCTTTCTCGAAAAAAATCAGATTTCAGGGAATTAAAGCTCTTAACCCTTTGGGGCAGGGATCGGTAGGATCTGGGAGCAATCCGGATTTCAGGGAATTAAAGCCACTTAATTTTGGGGCAGGGATCCGAGAGAAATCCAGCCTTTGCCAAAGATCGCTCGGATTTCAGGGAATTAAAGTGCTTAACCCCTTTGGGGCAGGGATCGGTAGGATCCGGGAGCAATCAGGATTTTATTGAATTTAAGCTGTTAACTCTTTGGGGCAGGGATCGGTAGGATCCGGATCTAGACCTTAATCTTTCTCGAAAAAATCAGATTTCAGGGAATTAAAGCTGTTAACTCTTTGGGGCAGGGATCCTTAGGGTCCGTATTTAGACCTTAACCTTTCTCGCAAAGATCACTCAGATTTCAGGGAATCAAAGCCATTAATTATTTGGGGTAGGGATCGTTAGGATCCGCGAGAAATCCCGACCTCACCCTTTTGCAAAGATCTCTCATTTTTCAGGGAATTAAAGCCATTAACTCTTTGGGGCAGGGATCGTTAGGATCCCAGACCTTTCCCTTTCACAAAGATCGCTCGGATTTCARGRAATTAAYGCCACWGACACTTYGGGGYAGGRATTGTTAGGATCCGRGAGCAATCCGGATTTCAGGAATTAAAGCCRTTAACTCTTTGGGGCCGGGATCGTTGCTCAGCAGCTTTTCTTTGACGGTTGGCACATTGGAGGGCTGAGCTGCCGGGAGCTCAACGGTGCAGGTGTTAAACAATAATTAAACTGCCTCGAAGTTAAACAGACACCCAGCACAAAGGGGCAGTGTGCTGCAGGGCCCTCCSAGTGGAAAACGGGAGGAGGAGGCCAGGAAAACAAAAAGGTTTGGATTAGGGAGAGGAAAAGAGAGGTTTGGCACCACGCAGGAGCCAAAATGGGAGGGCAGAAAATGCCTGTGAGCAGGTGAAGCGCTGCTGGAGAGTGGGGATGGAGCTGCTACAGGTGTGTGACCAACATTAAAACACTGGAGAGGGAGCTGGGAAAGATGTGAGAATCCCAAAAACAGCTGGGA